CTTTTTGATCAAAATCAATTTTCCAAAACGATTTGCCGGATATGGACTCTTTGGTGATTTATCAGTCTTACATTGCAATTTGTGAGACTATATTCAGAACCGTGACAGGAGTCCGAACTGTAGTATCTAGAACCACAATTCGCGCCCTCGTGCGCGGAGCGGAGTTCAAGGTGGTCTACCGTTTCTGGCGATTCTGTTGGGGATTTAGAGAACTTGACTTGAACATCATGATGTGTTGTTTTGTTTACACTTATGTGTTTCTTTGCATTGCATGTGCATTGGTGCGCCTAGGACACCGTGTTTGTTGTTTGTTATTCCTGAACGGTTTGCCGGAGGCTTACTTGGAAAAGCGTGCCATAAGGCTGACCGGTTACAAGCTCTGCCACAGTGGGAGCACAAACCTCGATTTTTACCAAGGCACCCTTTTCGGCCATTTGACCTAGTTTTGTTTGAAACCGCTGCGTGCATAGTGAAACCCTAGTTCTTGACGAAACTAGGACAGGGAAACCCTACCCCACCATAGGGGTGTTTTGGCTCTCACTTGCTTGTTATGTGCTGTTAGGGATGTGTCTCTATAGGATGTATGCATCAGTTGTAAGTCTGAGTATCAGCCTGAGGGTATTGGTTTTGAGGCAGTGAATTTTGGGGCATAACTTAGCAAGGAGCACAATCATTCAGCTATGCTTATATCTATTCTGGTGAAATCAGGCTGAGGTGCTGTCTGTTTTTTCTTTTGCTAGGTAGTCTTGGAACCATAGCTTCAGAAGGGTCTGATATCCCCCGGGTACTCTGGACCTGTGTTCTTATGTGATCGGCGATGAACCACCTGCAGGTGGCACCCAGTTTACTCCGGTTATAGCGTATGGCATGCTCTGTTTTGAGCAGTTTGCGAATGCTGTTTACTTTACTTTTTGACTTGGGTATTGAGTCAGTTTTGTTGTGTTGTATTGAGTCAGTCTTTTTGCACTGAGTCAGTTGAGTCTGTCTTGTTGTATCGAGTCAGTCCTGTTGTGTTAGAGTCAGATGATTTCGGGTGTGTTACCTCGTACATCACTTTCTTGTTTTGTGTTTGTCTTTTACACCCTTTTTTTTGAGTCTGTTTCTGCCTTGGAGCCAGTTATGCCAGACGATTTATATGAAACAGCAATGATTTTCACTCTTTTGCGTCTGTTTCTACCATTGTGCCAATTGTGCCAGAAATTTGAATGAAATGGCAGTGCTTTTCACTTGCTTTTTTGTGCCTTGAAATCATTGCATTGACTTGAGTTTTTCAAAACTTTTTGAACGTTGTGATGAAAACAAAGAGGGAGGAATTCCTCGGGATTTGCAAATATTTGATCAGCTCAGAGAAAGAGAGGCGTGCTAAGCCCTTAATCAATGAGATCTTGTTTGTTAATGTGAGTACTGAGAAGGATCCTGGCTTGATCCAGATTGGTTCCACATTGTCTTTGAAGCGAGCGATTAGTCGCCTTTCTAAAAGATTTCAAAAAAAGTTTGGCGTGGTCCTGCGAAGACCTGTGTAGAATCACTCTTGAGATTGTACAACATAGGATCATTCTCAGCCTCGAGACTCAACCCCTTTGCTTTCAAACCTTGGACTTTGGTTTAGAATGTTCAATGGTTAACCACAATGTGAGGCTTGCATGGCCGAATCAGAAGTAGCCCTTGAACTAGGGGCAAGAAAATCAAATCAAGAAGATTAGATGTTATCAAAAGAAGCTTGCGAAGCTAGATGAAAAGCATCCCTTGAACTAGGGGCAAAAAAGCGAAAAGTGCTCGAAGAGCGAAAGATGAGTCATTTCTCAAGCCAATGAAGACTAACAAGAAAGCCAAATCCGAGAAACAGAGAGAAAAATTTTTGTTGAAGGACAATCGAGTTCCTACCCACAACACTAGGGGCAAATTCAGCCCCCATTGGATGGACTCCTACATCATCAGCAAACAACACCATTACCTTGGATTCAGATGGCTTCGAGATCCTACGACCAGTCAACATGGACAAAGCTACACTTTTACCCTTGAGAGGCTCGCTGGGCCAAAAACCCAGATGGGCGACCCAGGCAAAAGTTAGAGCAAGAAAAAAAAAGAAAAAGAACAAAAATGAAAAGAAAGAGGAAAAGAAAAGAATGAAAAGAAATGAAAAGAAAAGAAAAACAAAGCTCGCAAGGTTGAAAACCCGGAAGGGCGGCCTTGGCAAAAGTTACAGCGCAAAAGGAGAGGTTAATACCCAAGTGTACCTTAACCCCAAACTATGTAAGGCTTGATTCCCATCTTTGGGATACGTAGGCAACTTCATTCTAAATTCTAGCCATAAACTCCTCCAAATCGATTGTGTCCATGTAATGGTTCTGATCATCTTTGTCTTCTCTGTATCCGAGAGTTCGGTTATGATTGCCACTTTGAGAACTGATTACAGTGTGCTGTGGTGCCATTCAGACAAGGGGCAACTTTCTGTTGCCATGCAGCGCCATATAGACAAGGGGAAATTTTCCATTGTTTTGGATCTAAGGTTTTCCATCTCAAGAGTAAATTCTGTGTTGGTCAAGCAGCGGCCATTTGTAAAAACAAGTTTTGAGAATTTTTTTAATGAAGTTGACTAATTTTCTCGAAAATTTGCTCCATTATTCCAAAACTGAACAATATCTTGGACACAAAAAAGGAAAAATTTTAGGGCTCATAGCCTGACTTGCATGATTTCGAATCAGAAAATCAAACAAGTATGTTAATCTAACTCTCATATTGATCAAAATTGTTTTAGTAGAAAGCTCAACAACAAAAAATGGTCAAAATGATGAACTAGGGTATAGACACCCCATTTTTGACCGCCCTTAAGACTTGGGCACTACTGATGGTTTACTTGGTGGTGAAAGGTGTGCAGGGCAAAAGTTCAATTTCTTCGGCAAGAGGAGAATCAAATCCTAACCTCACACGCCATTTTGGACCAAAGCTATTTTGAATGGTTTAAGAACCTTAAAACCCTCTCTTTCAAAACCTTTTCGAAAATAGGTTCTTACGATGTCCCGACGCTCGTATTTTGTTAAGTGTCGCGCTTTTCGATAAACCGAGCAAGGACAAAGTGGAAATGAATGAAGGAGAGATGAACTCTTTTGAAAAATCTTTCAAAACACCTTGTTTAGGGGTTTGGAGTTGAAGAAAAGGGGAGAGAAGAGAAGAAACCCAGTTGGGGAAGGAGTTGGGCATGAACCGTTAAGAGAGAGACGAGCAGCCCTCACTAAATTAGGCCTATCCATTTGAATACTTGGATTTTAGCTATGAGGCCACCACCGTTGGAAATTTTACTTCTGGGGCTTCAATTTTTATTCAAGAATCTCCTCGAGTCGAGTCCGGATGGGAGAGATATGGTTGTTGGAATTCGGGCATCAATCCAGTTGGACCGAAACTGAGAAGTCTTCACTAAAAGAGGGATATATCTTAGAACACATGGAATTTTGAGGTGAGGCTGCCAAATTTGGAAAGAAGACTTCCGGGGCTACATTTTAGGCTCAAGAATGACCTAAAAAGGCATCCAGATGAAGAATTTAGGCTTTCTTCAAAACGGGGACTAGGACTGATTTTTGTTGCCGGCCTCTATGGGAGTGTGCCGGCCATGATTGGCCAATGCCGGCCAAAAGTGACCCCTGCCGGCCATCAATAAGCCACTTCCTTCCATCACTGATGGCCGGCAGCACCCCTCTCTCAGCAGGTTTCACGGCAGATCTTTTGAGCCAGCTGGAATCCTTTAATTTCCCCTCCCACTACTACAAATATAGATAAAGATCACACTTTTTTGGTGTGATGTATGTTTTTTAATCACACCTTTTAAGTTTTACTAAAGTGTTGTCTTTAGGAGTGTGATTAAAAATGGTCATTTTTAATCACATTTTTAAGTGTCATTAAAAAATGCTTTCATCACACTTTTTAAGTGTGATTAATAATATTTAGATCGCACCTTTTAAGTGTGGTTAAAAACATTTAGATCATACCTTTTAAGTGATTAAAAATATTTAGATCACACCTTTTAAGTGTGGTTAAAAATATTTAGATCACACCTTTTAAGTGTGATTAAAAACTTTAGATTACACCTTTTAAGTGTGATTAAAAATATTTTGATCACACCTTTTAAGTGTGATCTTTGGAAGTGTGATTAAAAAGGATCATTTTTAATCACACTTTTTAAGTGTGATTAATAACATTTAGATCACACCTTTTAAGTGTGATTAAAAATATTTACATCACATCTTTTAAGTGTGATTAATAACATTTAGATCACATCTTTTAAGTGTGATTAATAACTAATAAAATCTGTGATAAAAAAAAGGTGCTACATATTTGAAAAATAATCAATATTATTTTTGTATGCACATTTGAATAATGTAATACACACTATATACTATATTTTGAATCATAACCACATATTGAATAGAATAACGTCATATATTTTATAAATAGAAATTAAATTTTCAAAACTATATACAAAGGAATTAAATAAAAAAAATTATCTATGCTTACATATATTAAAAAATGAAAAAAACTTAAAAAACCAAGTTCTTTAATTCTTGGACCATATTTTGCATCTCTCTAAAAAATTTCTGACCTGAAAAATGAAAACACAAATTAATTCAAAAACCGCTGATGCATATGAATAAACTAAAAAGTTAATTCAGCAAACCAAAATAAGAACATTAATCATTTCTACTTGATCTTAATCATTTTGGAAGCATAAAAATGTAACTTAGAAACACAGATGGCAGCTGCAAACACACAAACCATTTAAGCATGTGTATTTCATAAGCAATGTTCTAAAAATAATAATTCATTCTAACTTAGTCTGCATTGTTTCAAGGTAATAAATCCTCTGCATGATGACTTGAGTGATCTCGTGAATTAGTTTGTCATGGATTACATTGTAAAGAGAGAAACCACTTTACATTAACACCAAGGATGCAAAATATGGATGACCTTTATAAAAATAACCAAGTATTCAATTTTTTTTTTTTTTGGTTGGGGGGTGCAATTACTATCACCAGCAGCAGCAGGTTTTGGCCAAAACCCAGTGTTTGAGCAACCATTTGAGGAATGCGTGACTTTGGAGCAGCACTGCCATTCTGCATACAAGGGAAAATTTGGATGGCTTGATGATCAATATGAATAATGAAAACAGGTTAAAAAAAAATAAAAATAAAAATCCAAAATTGCATGATGCAACTTGTAGTCATAAAAACAACGAGAATTAAAGTATATATATATCAGCTTGGTAAATAATGCATTAACTGGTAGTTGCAATGGCTACAAATAACTTAGTTTTGTACTGTTCATACAATAACTTAGTACATTTATCACTGAGAATTTAAAACAAACAAACAAACAATTCAACTACTTACACTTCCCACATAACACAAATAAACTAAAAATAAATCAAAACTCACAAACAAAAGCCAAAATATCCCCAACATTTATCACTTTGATAAATTTCTCGATATCACTACCAGTACCAAATGATCATTCCACTAACACAAATCACATCAAAAAAGTCTTCAAAATTTATCATTATCAAAATGATTGACAAATACCTATCTACTACCATTTCACATGGTATTATATGATCTACTTAAACAACTGTTTTACTCCTGATGCAAATATATCAATCACCTAAGGTTTTACCATTGCATTTGAAGTTGCACTTGTTCTTCTTTAACCTGTCATACATTCATACCAACAACAAAAAAAAAAAAAGGAATAAAAAAAGAAAAAGAAAAAGAAAAATCGTACAAGCATTGCCTAGAAAAAAAGCAATGATAAAAAAGTACGGCTGTTCATCTAACCTGGAGACCCGGCAAACCGTATAATCCGAACCCACCCGACGAGCTACGGACAGTTTTGCATGTGCTGTGGTTCGGTTGTGGGTGTAAATCTATTGTTTTAACAAGTTCACGGTCGGTCATGGGTAGGAAGCTTGAACCAAAAACCATTTTAAAATACCTTCAACTTCTCAGACTTGGAAACCCAAAAGACAGCCTGGGAAACTCTCTCTCTCTCTCCCTCTCTCTCTCTCTCTCTGCGTAGCAGAGTTCTCAAACTAACCAACCCCTATATTGCAACATCAAAGATGGTGAAAGTAGCTCTCCCTACAAGCTCACCTCCTCTGAGCTCGCAACGACGATGCGTGTGATGGTAGCGTACTCGTAGTTGCGGCGGTGGACTTGCAATGGCAATGGTGGCAGTGAGTTCCTTTATTCACTCTACTAACTCTCCACGCTTTCAGATCTCTCTCTACAGGTCTGGATGTGACTTTCTTAGATCTGATGATTGATAGTTGAATCTTGTATTCTTTCTGGGAAACCGGCAAAGCCGATTGACAAAACCAAACGAAAGTGCGGTCGAGTTCGAGGAAAACGACGGTCAACAGAGGTTGATATTAGTGCCAAACCGAAGGGGTCGGTTCGAGTGCTGGTTAAGACTGCAAACCTGAGCCAACTGACCCGTGAACACCCTAATAAAAGGAAAGGGAGAAAAGAAACCATCCAGCCCTAAGTTGCAAGTGCAGTTACATAACACAAATATGCTGATGTGACCTGGCTCTCATGAGACTTTCTTTAGTAGTGGCCAATAATGGCATGATGAGATAGAGTGCACATCAGATCTTCCAAGCCATTCAGAAGAGAAGAAGAGATACTAACGAAGAGAGAAGAGAAGAGGGACAATTTATCAAATAAATAAATAAATAAAGAGAAGAGAAGAGAAGAGAAGAGGGACAGAGAGAAGATACAAATAAGAGATGAGGGAGGAAGAGAAGATAAAAATATGAGAAGAAAGAGAGTAAAGAGATTTAATTTAACATAGAAGAAAAAAAGCCAAGAAGCAGAGAGAAGAAGAGCGCGTCTCTTCCAAATATTTCAATTTTAATTCCTTTTCAAAGGCATCATCTCATTTTCTCGTAAGAGGCCCTAATAATACGTAGTTACCATATGAAACTACCCTAGCCCATATAGTAAAAACTTCAGCCTAAGAGTTTATCCCTAAAATTCTATATAAAAAAAAAAAATTAAAATAGAAAACAGCAATACATACAACTAAAGCAATCACAAGTCCTAACAGAATTCTAATGATTGAAATACATCAATTGACAATCATCTTCTCAGTTCTCATAGTCTTAGACCAACTTGGGTGCATTATGTCAGTAAAATCATATTATTACAAATACACAGTGATTATAATAATCATTATTGTTGATTTTAAGTCTTATGCTTTACTAATTTCTAAACAAAGGAAAAAGCTACCAAAGAGGATTGTCCTTGTTACTCCCATATTTAATGATATGTTGAGCACATTGAGACACAAATGAGCTTATCATGAACTAATTGTGCAACCTGATTCTCTTGAAAACTGAACAATAATTATATTACTTCTTCCTTCTGTAAACAAAGTAGAGGCACATTGAAAGGAGTTACAATTTTTTAAAATCACTTTGAAATTGGAAGGACCAATGAAACATTTCAATTCACATCACATTTCAATGAACTAAAGAAACTGATCGTCAAAACAGGTATAGACTACAGAGATAAGACAAACAGTAAAGGTCATAAACCAAACAAAATATGCCATAAATAAGATATCAGGTTAATCCTTTGTGTGCACCAGAGACACATAAGGAAACATACTACTGCAGAAGGATTATCCAAACTAACATGAAGTGCAGGGAAGTATGTCTCTTCACCAGATTCTAGCACTTCATTGGAAACCTAAATCGATAAATATATGTCAACAAGGACTTCAACCAAACAAAAATATTTTTAAAATGCAGCTAACTGATGAGACATCTAAACCGATTGCATAACCTAAATAACATCAAGGGACAACTTCATAAATATATAACTGCAAGGAATCCATAAGAAACACAGAAACTGAATTACCATTGTGCAAATACCAGACAGACTATGGATAATTTTTTTTTGATTTTATTCTGGGCAATATGATCCATTAAACTAATCAATTTTCAGCTCACACCTCAAATTATCCATGCTGCGGGCTATATTGATGTTGCAAATTACCAAATTACACCATTTTTAAATTACAGCAGTAATATTGTTAAAGGAAAAAAATAAGAACATAGAGGTTATTGATGATCTAAGAAAAACCAGTATAATTATCCATGCTGCTGGCTATATTGATGTTACAAATTACCACATTACACCATTTTTTAATACAACAATAATATTATGAATAGAAAAAATAAGAACAGAGAGGTTATTGCTGATCTAAGAAAAACCAGTACAATAATGCATGAATCTTAGCTTTCTAGCCTTCCGCCCTCCGGAACAAAACAGAAGTTCCACCTCCCAACTCAATCCTCATAATTGGTCAGTCCCAACTCCAACAGTGCAGAAGACTGGGAATGCGTTGGTACTTGAACCATATTTCCATATTTATTGACAAACCAACATCCCACCGACCTCAACTACAAAGTAGACAATGATGTGCAGTTTTGCTGGGCTAATATAAATCACCTGTGAGGGCCGGTAGAGGATCTGTTCTTTGAAGCTTGGGCTAATATATAGCTTTGCCCTTGATACTACACTAATTCAAGGCGGTGTGGTGTGCCCGTGAGGGCAGTGGTGGCTCTGCATTCTAAACCTGGGCTAATATAGCCTTGTACTTTGTTACTAAGTTCATTCATGGGGTGCTTGATCCTGAGAGAGTTGAGAAATTTTTCTAGATGAGGAGAGCATTTGAACCTGGTCTATATATATCCCATGAGGGGACATTGGTGACTACTTTGAAGCCCGACCAGAGCTTCTAGGCACATTGACACTTAGATTTTGGCATTACCATGCTGCTTTGGCCACAACCTGCTGGCATCGACAACCTGTGGGCAAGGCAAGTCCAGTCCTAGGCGCATCTCGGGCCAATGGCATCGTCACACCTTTGGCCGATGAAGGAAGGACACTAGCTTCTTTGTGAGTTGGAGGTGCAGGTGTTGTTGGGTCTTGCGGGGCTCACCACAGTTCCACTCGGATTATCTGACTAATTGATTTTTGTTCAATTATGTTTATAGATTATTTATTAAAAAAAAAAATTAATCTGATAACAGTAGCCAAAATTCTGTTCTACCATTTATACTCTTCAAAAGCTCTCCAATACAATCCAAACCCAAAATGACATTGCCTATGGAGCAATTGTAAACATAATCATAACTAGTTACTCTAGTTCAACAATTCTCACAATTCAAATCAAATCAATCATACACATGTATACAAGTGATAAAAAGAGCGAACCTTGAGGTGAAGAACACCGCCGCCCAAACCCCGATCACCGCCGGTGAACTCAAGCCGAGCTTCGTTATCGAAAAAGCAAGCCCCTTTCCACTCAATCGACCCATTGGTAGGGGAGACCGATCCGACGAACGACGGCAACAAGTCAACGGCGCTGTGGACACAATTCTGCTTCCAAGCCTACATCCATGGCGAAGAATGATGCAGTGTCACTTTGAGCATAGAGATCAAAGATCATCATAACTCAAGAACTCTGAAATAACACAATATATATATATATATAATAAAAAAAATCCAAAAGATAATAAACCGGGATCAAAATAGGCTCAAATACAAATAAAAGTCGGACCTACTGTGGTGTGGACTCATTCTTCTCGGTTTTTGCTTGTATGGTTTGAAATTAGGCCTCATAGGGAGTCTATGTTCCACTAATGACTTATCCAATCTTGGCAGTTCATTATAAGACCACGCAAAACAATCCTTATACTGCTTTAGGACTACCAACAACTAGTTCCTGTCAATAGAACTTAACCAAACACTGATATAAGTGCGTTGTTGTGCAGAACCTTCCCGTAAATTAACTTATTCCAAGGGGTCTTGTACTTGTGCACTTACTAATGCTTCTCCTTTGACTTCTTCTGCCTTTGAAACAACTTCTTCATTTTGTTCTACTCCCACCTTCTCTGGTTTAACATCTTTGCCTTCTTCCTCATAGACAAAATCTGTCCATAAGGCTTCTTCTTTTTGTATTTTCTGAACTTTTGTTTCGATGTCCAATGTACAATACTTATCAAGGGCCAAAGGCCTGGCCTTTTGTTGCTCCTGATTACAGCCAACCACCATGGCTTCCCTTTCTTGTTTCTGAACCTTCTGGACTATTGACTTTATGTCCAATACTGAAAACTTGACCAAGGCCAAGGGTCTGGCTTCTTGGGTCTCATCTTCTTGCCTACAACCAAGCATCATTGTCATCCTTAGTGACGAACTCTTTATCAACACTCTCCTACACTAAGTGCTTCAGGTGTGCTACTTCCTCATCAGCCGTCACTTCGGCTGTTCCATCAGATTTTCTCAATATACTGAGTGGTGTCACTTCTTCAGTATATAACTTGGTCTCTGCAAAGTCAGCACAAGCAATAAAGGGTTGAGGGTTTGCGTTGATCTCTTCTGTCTCTTCATTGCATAAGGCCATCATTATTTTTTGATGTAGAGAGGAAGGCACACATTTGTTGGTGTAGATCCAATCGCTGCCAAGTAAAGCATTATACTTGGCATTACAATCTATAACAAAGAATGTTGTCATGCAATCTCTGGTTCCCACACTCAAGTTGATAGGTAGGATGCCTTGAGCCATCGTCTTATCCCCAGCGAAGCCAGCAATGGTTGTGCTGGTTGGGATTGATCTAGGGTTGGATAGATAAATCAAGAGGGAGCTCAGTAAATAGAGAAGACGGAAGAGAGAGAGTGAGCAACGCGAACACAGAGGGAGAGAGAGAGAGAGAGAGAGAGAGAGAAGGACAAAAAGATAAAGAGATAGAAAGTGGGAGACAGAAAAAGAGACAGAGAGAGAAAAGGGATGAACGAAAGAGACAGAGAGAGAGAGATAGAGAGAAGAGAGATGAGCGAGAGACACATAGAGAGAAGAGAGATGAACGAGAGAGACAGAGAGAGAGATAGAGAAGAGAGATGAACGAGAGAGACAGAGAGAGAGATAGAGAAGAGAGATGAGCGAGAAAGACAGAGAGAGATGAAAGATGACAGAGATAGAGAGAAGAGAGATGAGCGAAGAGATAGGGAGAGAAAATAGATGAGAGAAGAAATAGATGAGTGAGAGATACAGAGAGAAAGAGAGAGACAGATAGATAAAAAGAAAAGAGTGATGAGTGAGAGAGAGAAACAGAAGAGAGAGAGGAAGATGAAAAAATGGGTAAAAAGATATAGACAAAGAGAGAGAGAAAAAAAAGAGCGAAAATAGATAAACGCGAGAGAGACAGAGAGAGATGAGCGAGAGAGATAAAGCGAAGAGAGACAGAGAGAGAAGAGAGATGAGAGAGACAGACAGAAGAGAGATGAACGAGAGACACAGAGAGAAAGAGAGAAAGAGAGAGAGTGAGAGACAGACAGACAGACAGAGAGATAGAGAAGAGTGATGAGTGAGAGAGAGAAAAATAAGAGAGACAGAGACACAGAGAGAAAGAGAGAGACAGACAGACAGAGAAGAGTGATGAGTGAGAGAGAAAGAGAAGAGAGACAGAGACAGAGAGATAGGAAGATGAAAAATGGGTGAAAAAGTTCCGTGTCTAACGCCTCATTTTCTAGTAGTGAGCCGTCTCTATCATTCATGGGTAGAATAGAGGCGCGGACTTGGGAATTGTATATTTTATATAAAAATCAAATTGAAATATTTTATACAATCACACCTATTTAGGGAGTGTGATTAAAAAGTAGTAATGTATATATAATCACACTTTAATTAAAATGTGTGATTAAAAAATATATATATAATCACACTTATTTAAAAAGTGTGATTAAAAAGTAGTAATGTATATATAATCACACTTTAATTAAAATGTGTTGTGATTGTGATTAAAAAATATATAAATAATCACACTTTAATTAGAATGTGTGGTTAAAAAATATATATATAATCACACCTATTTAAAAGTGTGATGAAAAAGTAGTAGTGTATATATAATCACACTTTAATTAGAAGGCGTGATTAAAAAATATATAAATAATCACACTTTAATTAGAATTCGTGATTAAAAAATATATATATAATCACACTTGTTTAAAAAGTGTGATTAAAAAGTAGTAGTGTATATATAATCACACTTTAATTAGAAGGTGTGATTAAAAATATATATATATATATATAATCACACTTAATTGAAAAGTGAAATAAAAAATAAATATTATCACACTTAATCAAATTAAGTGTGATTAAAATATCAATCTAATTTTTTTTATCACACTTCCAATAAAAGTGAGATCTTTTTTTTTTGTCAAAGTGTGATCTTTAACTATTTTTGTAGTAGTGTCCATACACGTGTATGGAGGGATGAAGCTCTTGCCAAGTTTGTTCAAGAAGCTTTGAATTGATTTTCTTCTATATAAGCAAGAGGCCACCATCTATATCAGGGTTGAGCCATTTTTGAAAAGAAAAATCTCTCTCTCTATATATTGTTGGAGTTTTGTGCTTTGAAGTTGGATTTCCTTGCACTTTTACACTACAACCCTTAGAGATACACCACCACCATTGAACCAAGCTTCTTGGGAGGTCTTTTTGTGGTCTGAAAGCAAGCTTCCACCCCCTGTAATTGCTGGTTTCGAAGAGGGTCTTCAAGGGTGAGCATTTCCCCAATTTTTGCACTTTTTTTGCACCTTACTTTAGCCCTCTTTCAATATTGATTTAGGCTTTGCTTATAATTGGAAAGAGTCTTCTTTTTAAGTGATTTTTAAGTTTGGTTAAGGTCATTTGCTGTTTGGGGTGTATAGCCCCCTTGCATGCTTTGTTTGGCTTTGTTTTAAGCCATATCTTGAGGCCTCCGAGCTAGCCTTGGTTTGGCTTTCCTACCACTGAAATCTAGTGGGATTTTGGCGGTAGAGGTGTGGTTTTGAGGTCCTAAATCAGAGGGGGTAGTCCCCTCTCTTTGTGTCCCTCTTTACTTGCATTTTTGGCCTTCC